AACTCGTATTTAGGACCTTTTTTTGTATAAAATTACATTTTGTGAATGGTTCATAAAAAAACAATCAAATTTCGCGTCTGTGTGTATAAATCTTTTACAGAGCTTTGTTTGGATTTTTCTTCAGCGAGCTTCAAATTTTCATGCCGAACGAGATTTCTCGAAGTTGTTTCATATATTGAAGTGCCAAATTCATGGCAAAAACAACTTATATGCTTAAATTTTTCTAGTTTTTTAAAAATTATTTTATTGCTTTAATTTCTAATGTACATTTTTGCACGATCGTTTAATCCTGCCTTGAAGAAAATCTTAATTTTGTACACTTTTATTGCATGAATAGGTCCATTAGTATATGCGAAAATTTACAACTCAAATTGATTTATGCGATTGTTGGTCAGAATTACGACGTCATCAAAAGTTGAGTGAGCAAAAAGCATTTTTAAAGAAATATCGAAGATTGTACGAGTACGAATCCGCATTTGATTACCTCATACGTACGCAGATTTTGTTACCAATAACAATGCGTCTTGAAGAGATTTCGAGAAACGGCAAAGTAATTAATTCTTTTTTCATTCAGATTTTATGGAAGAGGAAGGATTTGTTTAGAAAATCTTATGTAAAAATGCATTCTGCAAAATGGAATAAAATAAATAGTTGGATTTTCCGGCGGAGTTTTATGGAATGTATTCAGGAAGAGTAATATGCATTTGCTCAAAAGTCGAACAACCGAATTAATAAAATAACATTTCGACAGTTGTATCCCACAAGAAAATAAGTGGCACTATGAATTGAAGAAATTATAATAAAATATCTCGAGATTTCTGAAATCGGAAAGAAATGAAATGAAAAATGTGATAAATCGAAAAAATATTGTCCCATGGGTAAGAGTGAATCATTTCATTTCATTATTTCAGCGAAACCTGCTTAATTATGAAATGAAACATACCATGAATCATGCTTAATTAAGTCTTGCTTTTGTTCTAATTAACTTTTGTAATTCCCAAGATAATTCATATTGCGTGATTATTATAGAAGATCAGATTTCATTATTTTTATACATATAGTCGGTGTGCGGCGACTGATGAATTGGGATAGATTTACGGACATGAGCCTCTTCGTCATGGTCCCTTGTTATTTTCCGTGAAATATTTCTATTGTTCAATTTTTGAATTATTTACATCCTTAAGATTATAAAAATTAAAAATTATCGAAATCAGCGAAACCAGTTAGCCTGCGCGAGACGAATTCGCCTACCCTCATGCATCATTTGCCGGACACCGACTAAACTGTCAATATAAATCATCAAAACAAAAAAGAATCGTATTTTGATCTACTCCCAGTATATTGTTAGTTATGAAACTATTCTATGAAGTGAAAAAACGTGTGTAATTTAGCAATGTAAAAATGTAGAAAACACACACACACACGTCCGCATTTTTTCAATTCACAGAATAATTAGAATATAAAAATAATTATGGGCTTTTTCTAACTTTTTATCAAATCAGCCGAATTTGAGCTTATTATGTGAATTTCGCAGAATGGCATTATTAATTCAAATTAAGGGCCTCACGAAAAAAGAAACGACTGAATTTCATGAGAAGAACCGCAACGAATGAATCGCAATAGTTGACGCATTTGATCAAAACCAAAATTAAATAAGTAAATGCGAATGCACAGAATTGGTTGACTTTTTAGGTATTAGGGCAACGAGAATTGCTATTCGAGATTTGTTTTGCATTATTCTCGCAATGCAAAAACGACATATCGCATGAATTGAATAAATGCAGGAATTGAATAATACGGGAAAAATAAGCGCGCACACTCGAGATATCATGGAGGTCAAATAAATATATGATAGATTTTTCATATAAAATTGGACGATTTTTTCGCGAGTTCGTCGCGAGCTCCACATTCGGAATTCATTCGCCACCAGACACAAAAATGAAATCGCAAAAAATTCCTCACTGAGTAGGACGTCCAAACACAATAAACACAATAACGGAGATGACCGTAAAGAGCTTCATCACAAATTTTCAAATTATGTTGCTAAATTCTGAAATTATATAAAAAAAATTATATATATATATATATATATATATATATATATATATAAATCATGAATATTAAATACAAAAATTGTGACCGATACGATTTGAGAAGACTTCTTTCAGTGGAAGTGGAAGATACGAAACGAGGCCGAAAATGGAAATTAGCCAAATCCCCCAAATTTCGAAACGAATAAGCCAGTAATGATCGAGAAAAGAGAAGGTAGAAGGTCTCAAGTTGAGTGCATGCGCGAGCATGTGCAACATTCGAGTGGGCATTCCAAATATGTAAGACAAAACAAACAACGGAAAGAAACGACGACCACCTAAAATTAATCGAGGCACAATTGAGCAACAATTAAATTTGTTGGGGCAAATCGAGACATTCCTAATAAGGCAACAACAAAGGCACATATAAAAAGTGATGAATTGTCGTGGAAAGCTGCCGTGGCGCCTCCAACGACGATTAGGATGTTTTTGTTGATTGAAAATTAAACGAAACGAAATGAATGCGGGTTGCGATGATGGAAAAGAGGAGACAACGATGAGGACGTCGAAATTTTCGTCTTCATCATCACCATCCTCTTCGTTTCTTTTCGTTTTTTTTGGTAGTCCAACCACTTCTCTTCCTTTTTTGTCGTTTTTGCGTGTATATTCCTTTTTTCGTTGTTGGTGGGGCGGTGTTGTTCCTCTCAGTTTCTTTTTCTCTCTCACAGTCTCTTATTCTATCATTTTTTTCGTTTTTTTTTTTCGAGTATTACTTGAACACATCGATTTTGAAGGCAGAAAAAATATATGAAAGAGAGACAAGAACAGAAGGGCTACCACACATGAGCGAGAGCTAGGGAGCTAGTGTGTGTGTGCAGAACGAGTGAGTGAGCAAGCACGAGTACGAATATCTATATGCGTATGTCGTCATCGTTAAAAGAGATCCCAGACGAGTAAAATGTTTTACATTATGAGCATGAATGAGCAATGAAGAATGTTAAAGTGTGTGGCGAGATCATTTACATTTCCAACAAACCTAGTGGGATTCTCAAAACAACAGCAAAAGTTCTCCGGGAGAAATAAAAAAAAAACATTTTTCAGAGGATCAGTTGCCGAAAGAGTGTGTTTTGGTATATGATGTGCTTTTTTTTCTTCCAACCGCTCTCATAAACTCGAAGCCAATGTTCTCAAATATCTTCTTCGTCAATAATTTGAAAGTAACTTTGAATAGACATCATATACTTCGAAAAAAAAAAACACTATTAAATGGCCAATGAAAATCTGGTACCAAAATGACTAATGGAGCAGATTCCGAAAAAAATTATGACCTCATTTTGCGAGGAAGAACTTAAAATGTGAATCTAATAAAATGGACAGAAGAAGCGTCTCATTTAAAAAAAGAAATTTGCGATGAGAGTAACAATTTGTTGTTCCGAGCAAAGCGAGCTGTCCAGTAAATAATGTCAATTTAAACACTCTGCGTTTACCAAATCTGATTTTTTGATATTAAATTCGAATATGAACAAAATATTCTCAAAATATGAAATAAAACAGTAATCTAAATTGATTTACCACAACGGGACCCGCCAAAGCATATACAATTTGTGTAAGAAGGTTATCGGAATTGCTCTCTCTCTCTCTTAATATATATTACTGTTGAATTGTCTTGAAAACTATATTAGTATAATTTTTTTTTAACTTCTGCTATAAATTCTAGTTAATTCAAGAATGAAGTATAGAAAACTGTTTACTCGAACCCGAAATGAAGCGCACCACTTGGGACAGTCAGAGAGAAATTCGACATTCTGCTAACTTAAAGGGCGATATATTTGACGCCTGGCGACTGCTGTACTCGGGTCGATTTACGGACATGCGCCTTTCATCTAATGAGACACTTGCACGTATCAGATATTTCGTTTTAAAATTTCGTTCAATTCTTTAACGCTGAACATACGATTGTAAAGTGAAGTTTTAAATTCCTAAAAATTGTATACGATGAAATCCTAAAGACAACTATGCGTTTAAAGAGCGATTTGGTACGACTATGAATCATTGACCAAAATTGAATTTAGTGTTTGAACAAACATTTTTGGAGTTTTTGGTAGTTTTTTGCGCTGTGTACGGCATAAACTTCTGGGGTACAGGAAAAATAATAAATACAATTTTTACGTGAAAATGACACAATAAGCATTCATTCGTGGCGAGACCATTCCAAAGACGCACATAGTAAAACTACCCTCCACCAGACGCCGAATATACAATCTTTATACACAAATGGAATATTGGAAAATGAGAAAAGTTTTCTCATGTCAGAAATGATTTTTGGAAATTAGCGGGGAAAACAAGTGATATCGAACGTTTCCGATTTCGACTGTTTCAATTTTGTGTGAATTCTTACATTCACAAAGAAAACGAGTGCCTTGCGCAGATTTACGGAGATATAGAAAGTTCGCAGGTTTTCAGGAATTATCACTTTTAAAATCGAAATGTGAATTATCGCGAAAAAATTTCCTGAAAGCCAATAAGCCTAGCCCGAGTATAAGTAGAATGTTTTTTTAACCGAAAATATCTAATTTCATCACGAGTTTCGGCTCTTTTTCAAATGAAAACAGCACACATTCGAAAGTATTGAATTTGACAAAAATAGCCGAATGGTAACTATTTTCGTTGGCACTTCAAACCAAAGTAAACATGAATTGCCGAAAAAATGAATACAGTATTTGAGTGTGCCGTTATTTACCAATTTTTGTCAGCAATTTAAATAAAAAGGTAATACCAGCGGCCTGTCGTCGTCGTGTTGGCTGAATGTTTTCTTCATCGGACGAGCTTTCAGATTTTCCTTCAATCATTTCTGCATCATCACCGTCTTCGATAATTTGAGCAAGTTGATTATATGTCAGAGGATGCGGTAAAATTTTGGATTTAAGACAACTGTGATTAAATTAGGATTAATTAAACTAATTGTTAATGTTACATAAAAATATGAAATCGTTCGGGATCCGGAATTACAGAATCCCCACGAGATTTGAGATAGCTAACGAGTTCGGAAGAGTTTGCCGTTGTGCAATATTCCGGTCTTCGAAGGAGAAGCATCAAAAGATGTAGTTGTTCGTCAGAAGGCTAAAAATTAAAATAAGAGAATGGTTTGACTTTTATAGTTCGGAACCTTTTGAATATTCATATGTTGCAATAACTCTTTGTGTGAAATTTTCCAAAGTTTTTCGATATTTTTGAAAATCGACGATTCACGGTCAAGCTCAGCATCGAGATTGTCAGAAGCTGCGACAAGTGAGCATATCATTTCTTTCGATTCTCCAATAGCTGGACCAAGTCTTTCAAATACTTCATCACCACCTTCAATATTGAGCATCTGAAAATACTCGATGTTTGGAAAAAGAAGACATCAACTCCATACGAAATGAATTTTGGAAATTATTGCAATGAATAAGTCTCGAAGTGGCATTTCTTTGGACGTATCTGAAGAAGACTTGAAACTGCTTCAACGAAAACATCCTTGTTTACCTTTGTTTGCGAATTTTCGAAATATAGCACTCAAATTTGCAGATGCTGTTTGAAAAGGCTGATACGCATAAAGTGCACGACTATGGCAATACAAGCTTTCTAATAACTTGCCACTGAAATTTTATCCCAAATAATTACGTTTCAAAATCATTCAAATAATACCATTTCGAATTAATGACTCCCAGCTGATTCCATGCTGTTCCATCCGCCTGATTAATGCACACTGATAGCTCATAATATTCCCTTGCTCTCTCGTTTTCCCCCTAGCAAAAAATAATAAAAACGTAATAATTCAATTAATCACTTTGTATCTCATAAGATCGCCCATTCGCAAAGCGATAAATGCACCAAAAACTCGAAACAACGTCGTCGATTTGAATTCTTTCGAATTGCGACTTTTGAATGTTAAGAATGGTGGCAAATTGAGATTAGGCATCTTATAAAACGAATGGACGAGAAGCGACAAATCGGTGAGGTAGCCGATCGAGAGATTCAGCACATTATCGCGAACAATTTTGTCCGGCGAGGAATTCGTCATCGAATCGATCATATTCTTCATGATTTGCCAGAATTTCGAATGTAAACGACTTTCCATACTGCGTGTGAAATCGGCAACAAAAAGGCGCATAATATGCTGAAATATTTACAAATTTTTAATCTAAATAAATATTTAATTAAAAATGTATTGCATTCGCCAATTAGGGATTTGATTATCCATTTCGGCGCAAATTTTTTCAATTATCAAATTTCTTTAAGCAATGCTGGTCCCCCCCCCTTTGAAATATCTATTCACACTTTTCTCCCTGATGCGAAATACGTGAAAAAGTGTAATACTCATGGTTTCGATGAAAACATCCAAGATCATTCACTTATTATTCGCATAATTATTAGCACTTCCTTAATAAATATTTATAGCTTATAATCTATTGGAAACACAGTTAATACCAATTAATAATCATAATTAATTGACTTTTTTTTACAAGTGTTCAGAGATCTACGATAAAATTATGAAATTATCAATAAAAGATTAAAAAAAACGTTCAAAATCTCATTTCCAAAACGTAATAAGTCAACAGATTGCTTAAATTCCATTATAAAATAAATTACCAACTTTTAAATTTTCCGGCGAATTTTCTGGACCCTTCGGCAGTTTGTTGCATTCTTCGAAAAGAATTTCCCACTCATTAGAACTATTTTCCTCTTTCATCTGAAATGCAAATTTCTCTCCAATTTTTTTATTGTTTTACAGAAATTTCTAGGTTTTTCTGGCATCCGTTTTTTTATGTTGCAATAATAATTATAAATACAAAACCATTCATTTTTGTTAATCATATTAACAAAAATTATCGTATGAATAAATGTAAGAAACAACAAAAAAAAAACATCAACTGGGAAATAAGACAAAAAGTTTAAATGTAAACAGGATAGATTTAGTGGTTAGTAATATAAAGATCATTTACCCGGCTAAAGGAATGATACATTTACACAAAATTGTGCTGATAAAGAAAAAGAAATGAAAAAAAACATAACAACTAGAGTTATTCAATCTCATGATTAGTGTGGGCAAACGAACGAACAAAAATGACATGTCTACCGGTCTTGAAGCGAATATAATCACAATATAAGAAAATTTCTACCAACAGCAGCTCGTTGAAAAAAAATAAAATTTAGTACAATCTAACAAACAAGAAGAAATTTATGAATGAAAAAAAGAAAACAGTTACAGAAATGTGTGTTTGAAAGAGCGAGAGATCAAAAGAACATTTGGAAGCTCAATGAAGTGTTTCAAATCAAAATTGATCAGACTAGATGATTTTCAAATCAATCCATACACATTATAGTAAGCTTGTCTGTTCTGAGCAACAACATTTGCCGATGGTGAAGAAGGATGATGCACAGAAGTAGCCATCTGCTTTCGAAGAACATCTTCCATGTTATAATGCCCATCAATATGAAGCACATTAGGACAAGATTGGGACCGCGTGAGTTTTGGTAATACAATACACCGAAGACTCTCGAGGACCTGAACTTTATTTGATTGAACGGGATTTTATTAAGTTAGCGGATAAGTTGAAGCGTTTTCTAAAAGTGACTTTTTTCATAAATTCACATCAAATTGACAAATAATTCGATGTGCTCGTACATTACTACACACACTCTTGGATTCATTCCTAGTGCAATCTTCAAACATGCAATGTAATTACGATAGGAAAAAAGCAAAAAACTGACGGTCACGTAACTAAAAAAATTTCATTTATTGAAGATACTATCGAAACGAGATCATCTCCGAAAATTAGCACAAGTGAGGGTGAGCAAGCATCATGCAATGAAGGAAAGTTAGTGTCTGATCAATCAAAACCACTCAGATCCGAATTGGACAAATTTTGAAATCGGATGCAAAAAGGATCGGAAAAATAAACAGAGAAGCAAATCAAAACAGACATACTCTTCTAACTTAATGTCAAGTAAGAATCACCTGTTCCATGAAATGACGATTTTTCCTAGGACGAAGGTGACCTCAAAATTGGCAGTTTCGCCAAATTAATCGAAACCTCGTTTCGATTGAAAAAATTCCGGTCAACGGTTAATGGTTGGACCGATATAGTAAACGTTGATAATTGATAATTTTCATTTCACTTTTTAAACGCTTCCAACTCATCCACTAACCTAATAATGTGCTTACATCTCCGAACTCCGGTCTTGTTTCTCGTTTGAACGTGATACACGACTCATAGAGTCGGAGCAAAGCCCTCGGTGTATCTGTTCGCAACTTGCTAATGTCCGGCCGCAAATACCCCCGACCGACCATGAACAAAATTTGATCACGATTATTGATATTCGAATATGGAAGCTGTCCGGAAAGTAGCTCGTATATACATATTCCGAATGAATAGACGTCCGATTTGGTAGTGTACGGATTCTCATCTTGCATTCGAATAACCTCCGGCGCCTAACAACATTTTTGGTCACACAGGTAACGTAAGGCACGCTCACCATCCACAGAATACTTCCGGTTGGTTGTTGCTGCTGCTTTCCGCTTGATGTCCATTTTGTTTTAACCGTCGCCAAACCGAAATCACCGATTTTCACGGTCGTCATGTCATCCATTAAGAAAATGTTGTTAGTCTTCAAATCTCGATGAATAATATTTTTCGAATGCAGATAATTCATTCCAAGCGAGACTTGTTTCAAAATGTCAATGATTGAGCTCATCTCGAATTCCACTTTGGGCTCAGCTACATGAATGTGCCTATAAAGACTGCTACCCTCGCACCATTGGGTAATAATCGCCAATTCCGGTTCTCGGACCCAACCCATGAACAAAAGCACATTCAAATGACGTGTTTTCTTCAAAACGGCCACTTCGTTTTTAAATGCTGCCATTTGAGAAGGTGTTGGTTGACCGACGTTAAGCTTCTTGATGGCGACATTTCCGAAAAACTCTCCTCGGTAGACGGTTCCAAACGAACCCGATCCAACTTTATTGTGAATCTAGGAAAATGATCATTAATGAATAAAACTAGAAGACATGGTTGTCTTACCGCATACTCATTTGGTTGTATCTCCCAATCCTCATGATGAGCTTTCTGCTGAAGTGCTCGATTCCTCTGGGGATCTAATCGCTCCCCGGGAGACCGACTTCGATTCCTAAAGAAGCACGGCGAGATTTTCTGAGGTGGCGCACTTTGCGGCGGTGTCAGCGGTAGAGCATGAAGATGAGCGGCAACCAATTGGCTCGTTGTCGAAGCTGAAGTAGTTACTGATGAAGTGGTGAGACCGCCGGGCGGTGATGAACACGTCGATGACGGTGAATTTGAGCCAAGTGGTGTGCAGTCGACAAGAGGTAACAAACGATTCATTCGTGTCGAACCTGATAGGATGTGTCCCGACTGGAAATGAGGTCGTTGTCGGGCTTGCGTCGACAAAAGAGACCCCGTCTTATCCCTCGATTCTTCTTCTAATCGTTGAGCTTCCAGAGTATCCAGAATGTGTTGCTAAAAATCGATGGTTTTTATATACCACATTTCTAATGTTACATTATGTTGAACCATTGTCTCATCATTAATAGCATTAATATTTGGAGCTGATGATGATCGATCCCTCGGATAAGGTCCACTTGGCGCCAATTGAGTGGAATCCGTCTGTGGAATTTGGATTGGATGACGTTTAACACAACCCGCTCTGGAAAAAAAGAAGAACAATAAAAGTAATGTGGGTAATAAATTTTCTCGCAACTCTATATCATCAAGAAAGAATTTTAAGCGTTCTCGCTCCACCGAGATAACCGTACAAAACTTATTACGGAACGTATTCAAACCTTTTAATACTCGTTAAATCTGGATGACTACTATCAGGTGTTGCAGCTGGACTTTGACCACTTGTTGGTGCAAGACCTGCCAGCACCACTTCAGCTACCGTCTTTTCAGGACCATTGACTTGTGATGCAATTGATAACAGCCTTTGTGCCAACTGTAAAAAAATGGAAAATAATTGACTAATATGTTAAAAACCCATACGTCTTCATTCTTAGGCACTGATTGAAGCAAGTCGCAATATAATGGAGCAAATGATGAGCATCGTTGGTGAAATTTGAATTGACAGAATTCACACCGAAAGCCCATCATCCATATGGGATTATTGCAAACATCGCAGGATTTTGGCGGAATGAATGTCCTTCGCACAATTGCATGCTGAATAACGAAATTGTTGAAGATCTTCAGAAACAAAACCAAAACCTTTATGGATGAAACAGTGTTCAAGTACTCGCTATGCACCCAAAGCTCATTCAAGGGTAATCTTGCGGCTATCGATTCCATAGTTTCCTAAAAAATAACAGATTCGAAATTAGAGTTTTCTGGCCAAAAATTTCTCACCGATAGGTCTATACTTTCGCTTTTTGGATCTTGCGCAACATTTACATGACAAAGTTGTGGTGTAATATTACGCTTTTTGAGCACTTTCGACAATGCATCTCGAACTGTCTCTCCGGGCCGCACCTATAAACATAGCAGCTATTGGTCGGGGTTCCACGACAAATGCAATCAGATTTGGTACGAGTTCTCGTTTTGTGCGAAAACACTCACCTCGACTTTCGAGTGCTGGTCAAACGGTAAATGGACCATTATCATTTTGTTTCGCTTTGAGTCACAATCCGATCGACCCGATAACGAATGAAGACTATCGCTGTGCTTCGGATATAGTGGCGTCGATGGGCTTAGCATCGGCGATTGGTCCTGAAAGAAGACGGAAAAATGACATCATCATTGACGGCAGTGGCGTCGCCGCCGCTTCTGCTAAAAATTTGGTGGTGTGTCACTTTCACTGCCAATCAGATGTGAAAAATTCGCAACGGTGGCGACCGCTGGCGAAAAGGAACCAAGTTGAAACGTTGAACGGATGAACGGTGCTGATGGCAACCGCAACCAAAAGGAAATGACTCATTTTTCAATTTCATCGTCCGCCCCGACCGAAAGACCGGCCCACGAGAGAGGGCAGTAGAGAGGCAAGGAAGAACGGAAAAAATCCAAGTTTGTGATTTATTGGAAAATGGCGAAACACACACACAGACAAGCACATACACAGTACAACGGATGACAAGACAAAACCAATTCACATCACCTTTCGATCCATCGATGAGCCGCATCTTGGCAATCCGATGAGACGTGGCGCGGTGCACGTGTGAGGCGATGCCGGCTGCGACGAGAGTTGCATTGCCGTGTGCAACGGCGACGACGACGATGACGACTGTTTTTTCATCGCACGGTTCATATCACCTCTACAAATGATTAGGCTCGTTCCCGAGGGCACACGGACAATTTGTTAAGACATTAAAAAAACGTACAAGAATATAATGAATAATTTGAGAATGATCGCAACTAGACAAAAATCGCATTATAGGTATTAGCACAAAAAACTTAAATATACATATTTATTTATTTATATAATAAGTTTTCACACTTTTTTTTTTCTACGGAAAAAATAAATAAATTGAGCCTATTATTTATATTTCAGTACTGAAAATATGTTTTTCAAAAAGTTGTTTTCTGTTTTTTTTTGGTGAAAACTTCATTTGTTTCAGTGGCCTCGAGACCAAACTAATAGAATTTTGTTACATTTGTCTTGTACTTTTGATGACCTTTGTTTCGTTATAAAATAGGTGTGTAATAATAGAAGAATACAGAATCATCTATTGAATTGATCTTTATTAGATACTTTCAAAACGCAGTGATAAGAGATAGAATCCAGTTAGGCTGTTCATATTCACGAACAAGGATCACAAGTGATTTTTGATCACCTAGGTATGAAGAGATATGGTTCATGGGCATTCGCTTTTTCCATTACTTTTAAAACGAACCTAGTGAACTTTTATATATTTAGTAGCTCACGAATATCTCGCGAAATCGATCACAACAGATGATCAAAGGGCAGTTTGTGTGACACAAATGTTGGAAGAGAATTAGATTTCCCCACCTAAATAACCAGATGCAATAGCAAATGACCGCAATGAAGAAAAAAAACACATGGCTTCGGTGTTTCTTCAAAGAACACTTCCTTTGTGTAAAATTGCGAAACTCAATTAAGTGTCAAATTTTACACAATGCATCTTATTTTGCTGGAAAAAAATAACTAGCTGAAAAAAATGTCGGCGAAGTAACAATCATTTGCTAAAATCTTTGGAAAATATAATTTTTTAGTTTCATGTTGCGCGCCAACACATTTTGAAATATTGAAAACTATTCTCCACACCAATCACGCGGATCTTAACAATTTCGTAGAAAGCCGGCGTGCAATGTGTGTGAATGATTCGAATAATAATTAAAAAGTTCAAAAAGTTCAAAACGTTTGATTTTTCGCTTCTGGGGGAAACATGGGCTATTAGTATTTTAGTTATTCTCAAAAAAGAAGTAATCCTTGTATTCTTTAATTTCAAATCGCGAATTATATTCAAAAGCGAACGCAACTGAAATTTAAATGTTTGTTATTTCTTCTGCTAAACAAGTCTAAAAATAAAAAAATCTATTTTTTTAGACTTTGAAATTTTGAAATAAATTATAAATTTATCACGGACTGTTTAGATTGATTTCAATTTGTAGTTCACAAATGCGTCAAACTTACAGATCTCCTTCTTTTTGAACTTTGAAGAGGTGAGAAATGAAATAGCGAATACAGCAAAGTCATAACTGACATAATAATCCTCAACCTTTCTTCTTTTCTTTTTCGCCGCCCTTTTCCTCGTTGATTTTTTTTCATTGCTCTTGCCAGAACAACTGGTGTGAGCTGTAGCTCAATCAACACAAGAAGTCAGTGATCAATGGGAGGAGATTCAACAAGCTTGGACGATTAATATCAAAACTAGAACTTTAAGGAATCGCAATTTGACACTCACGATAATTCGCGGGAAGTGCGTTTTGCATATTACAGGGCGATATATAAAATCGCAAAATGCAAACTGAAACATTAAACATAAAAATGGATAGGCAGGAAATCCGCAGAATAAGTTTTTTTTTCAGCATAAACAAGTCGCATGATTTAGTAATTCGATTAGAACACATTACCAACGAAAAGTATGCAAATTGAATACACAGATAAACTTGTAAGACTTTGAAAAAAAGGAATCAACGAGTAGAGTAAAATGGACACTTGAATATGAACTGAGCAATGATTTTATTGTGACACAGAAAATGTTATAACAGAAAAGAAGAAAATAATTTAAATTTGATTCTGAAAAGATTGAACTGAAGAAAATGAAAATCCGAGAGCACAATTACGCCATTTTGGGTTTTGCTATTTTAAACAATTTTCAATAAGACTTTAATATAAAAATCGCCATAGGCGGTTTATATTCTATAAATTGCACATTTATTAATATCGAAACTCAACCGCTATTTGAATCTGAGTTTGAATTAAAATATGACAATCAGAAGACATAACTAACGGTAAACTTACGGTGAGTTTGGTGAGCAGGGTAACCGTGGTAAGGTTTTTTTTTCGATTGAAATATTTCCAAATAAATTTCGTATGATTTTATTTCGATATCTTCAAACGGTCAAATTATTTACAATTTGAAACAAACATTTGGTGTTTCTGTTGATTCTTTTCTTTTTCAAAAAACACGTGTCACCGCAAATGCGTGCGCTTCAGCTCAATCCAAATCAATGGATCACACGAGTTTTGTTTGTGTAAAATGGGTTCGAAAGAAACGGAACAAACACACGCAGAAGAAGAAATCAGAGCGCCGAGAAAACATTTTTTGGATTAATCAAGTGGCAGCTTGGTGAAATTATTTATTATAAACGCGAACTGAAGGACGGAAATAATTTTAAAAAAACGAGCAAAAATAAGAAGAAAATGAGACGAAGAAACTCATCGTCACACTCGACTAAAAAAGTTGGCATATTTTTGCGAGGCAAAAGATTGAAAATGATTAAAATTTATGAGAGCATTCAAGATTGATGGGGTCCAATCGTTTATCAATTCTTGCGGCCAATTCTCCGCAAATATGATTTATTACTTTAAAACAATAGACAAAAGATTATGTATGAATGCCGTGCGAAATCTGTCAGAAATAAATAATTGGGACGTTTCTTATTGCGTTTTCCAAAGGCAACAATATAAATATACTACCGATTAATACTGAAGCTCACCTGATTTGAATATTTAGTAAATATACATCCCATGTCGAATTATTGTATTTTATTGAATCCATCAAACATTGAACATCTCATGTTTGTTCTTAGCAAGTTTAATTTCAATATCTAATAAATTGCATACAATAAAATTTTATTGTTATCCATTCGGAATCATAAAATGGGACAATTGGATATCCAGAAATTCCGAATAAGAAGTTTATAAGTTTCATTTTTTTACTTAATGCATTGGAAAAGAATTAATTAGCATTCAAATTATCATAAATTCAAATTGAAAAAAATGAATATTAATTTGAACTTCGATGTATATCATTTAGGAAGCCTTTGAATTATTATTTTCTCAGGATTGATTTACACACCACAAATTGTTGAAACAAATACATTATCAAAGTGGTGCGGCTGTGGAAAATTGCTTAAATTCCAAAAGAACAATAGCAATGGTCTTAACGCAAAAAATAGCGTAGATTTACGAGGTTAAGTATAAGGATGGGTAAAAGGAACACACAGCGCATCAAGAGCTCTCCCTAAATATTTCGTGCATTTATGGAATTTTAGCAAAGTTGCGCGAGGAAAACAATAGTCGAAAACAGGCAAATGTTGGAAATACAAAGAATTTATTAGCCATGTTTGTTTATTGGCGCGAAATTAACAAATTTGTTCCTTCGATGTATACTGTAGTTTTGCATATGTTTGATACTCAGCCAATTTGAAAATTATTGCGAGACCAAGTTGCGCAGTTCAAGCTTTAAAGCTACACACCCCGGAATTGATATCTTCTATTAAAAATTCGAATGACGATTTGATTTGGTATTGAGAGGGTTCTTCAATTTGATGTAAAAGACCAGAGGAATTAGAAAAACAAACCATTTTGAACGAATAAAAAAAATATATTTCGATGTTAGTAAAACAAAAGAAAACAACTTCAAAGCTCGAATTGCCTACGTAAGCGGCTGGCGCCCAACTTGTTTATACAAATGAAATATCTCGTGCCGTATATGTATTTGTACTATACACAATTATAATTAGGATCTCTCATGAGAGGACGCGTTGCAAAACGAATGGAATAAATGAATGAATGAATGAATGAACAAAAAAAAACCTTGAGTGACGGGAAATCCTGCGAATTCTTGATGGGACGGCAGAATCTGTAAGAAGCAAATAAATAGAAAAAATTAAAGAACCCGGCAAAAAGAACGAGAAAATGAGATAACGGACCAAATAAAATAAGAAAAAAAAAGAAACTTGAAAGAAATAAACGAAGAAACGAAAAAAGAAGCGAATTCTAACAACATCGTTTATCCGTTCCAAATCCGTTTCCGAAATAACGCATATAAATTTATCAACAAGATGTGAGGAAAGATATGAAGAAAAAATAAAGATGAAGGCAACAAAAAATAACAAAAAAAAGTGGCTAAAGCGAGATTAATTGCACATATTTTTAGTCTTGAGAATTATTTATGGGCTCCTATTCCTTTCAAATGATGTGTTGCGGACCCCGCGCGCGCCGGCCTTGAGAGAATGTATCACAAAAAGATTCGGTGGGAAAAATGTTGTTATTTCTGGCTCCACTCTCATCTATTTTTAGGATTTTCTCAATTTCGGCGTCACCGAAAAGAACCCAATGATTGCGTTGGAAGAGAGTTCATTCATGTTCGGAACACCAAAACACAAAATAATAATGCATTCAGAAGAAATGAAAGAAAATTTATAAAAATTCCAAAGACTACATTGCACTCATTAATAAATATTTCAATATAAAAATGATGGATCTGAATAAGAGTGGATCGGTCATACAGCTCTTGTCATGTATGACGCTGATGACAACACGGAAACACTGTGTCTGCTGGAAATGCTGAATTTTTAAAAACAACACAATTTTGGGTTTGAAAGAGGCAACTTCGAAGGTTCGATCACGCAATATTCGAAAAAGAAATTGAGGTGGCCGAAATATTTCGTCTTGACAATTTTTAACAAACTCCCGGAATTTTTTTGATACTAAAAACGTTGATTTTATAAGGCTAAATTTGTTGACAAGTTTTGTCGTCATCGAAATGTCACAGCTGAAACAGCTGAAAAAAATTTCAGACAATGTGAGTGATTCGAGAAGCATTTCTCAGCACTGTCAGGCAATCAACTGAAAATAAGTCAAGGAAGGGGGTTTGACAGATTTTTTTTGTACGAACAAGAATTTTTTGCCCATCAGACTTTGAATGATTGTAAAAAATGTAGAAAATTAAGTAGTCATATGAAAATGTTATGAATATATAAATATATATACATATGACTTTCATTTCCGAAAAATTGAGCACACTAATGGTTTGATTAACTTCCGGAATAGGTGTTGACTTACGAGATTTAGGAACAACTGAATATCACGATTTCAGCTGAGAGTTCACGCAGCTAGAAATTTTTAGAGCCGAGAATCTTAAAAATGCAATATTTGAACGATTTGAATGGAGAAAATTTTGAGTAATTTTGTGACGAAGGTGTTGAGTCACGTCACTGTATAGCGCCTGCGTTTTGAGATCATAAATTATTAATTTTTCGAAAGTTAGTCTTCAGTCCGGCACGAATTTGCCGCCTGTTTCTCACGCAAGTTGACTGTAATTGCAGGGTTTCAGCTCTCCAAAAGCGAAAATGCCTGTAAATGCATTTTTTACGCAAAAAAAATGTGAAGGAGTTTTCATTAAACAAGCATGCTGATCGAAGCTCGTTACAAAAAACGGGTCTAATTTTAGTGGTCGGTAGCGAACTGCGCCACATTTGATGATACATCATGATTCGAACGTAAGAATAGCTTTTTTCTCAAACATCAGTAGCGAAAAGTGGATTTTAAAATGAATGATAAAATGATTGCAATTTTTTTTGTTTTTTTTTTTATTTCAATGTCTTATTTTACAAAAATTAAATATTTGTTTATTCAGATAAAAATATGACATAATATCGCGATAAATCATACAATGGAAAAAGGATCGAAGGTCTAAAACTTGTATTCTTTATCGAGGTCATTTCATTCAAAAAATTATGAAATCTTCTCTCTTTTCAATCTTTGAAATATGAAATCACGTGACAACCAATAGGTTTCACGTAAAATTTCGTAATACTGTAAAATTTCTTGCAAAAAAAGCAAAGAAAAAACAAAAAATAAATTCCGAAAATTTTTGAACTTCGTAATCTTATATTCCTCCAACTTTCATACATTTTCAATATTTATTCATTTTTTTTTTGCATTTACTTTTTTGTAAACTGTAAACTACAGAAACTTAAATAACTAAAAATTAATACTTTAAAATGGGAAATTGTCATTTAATGATTAGAACTGACACTTGGGAAATATACATTTCATTAATTTATGCGACATTTTTTGCATTCAAAAACTTTCTGCGAAATTCCCAGAAGCATACATGCATGAATAAATGAGGAGAATTAATTAAATTGAATTAATGGTCTAATATGGGCAATTTCTGCACGGGCGATTAGAAAAAAAGGTCATCAAATAGGCTGCGATAAAGGTGAAACACGAACCGAGCAAGATTTTGCACAATTTTCGGGGAACGAGCAGAAGAAACAGAAAAACCGCGAAAAAGGAAGAGAATATCGACAAATGCAACGCTCAGCCAATAATGAAGAGCTTGAGAAGGCAGAGAGCCTTAATATAGCCTTCAGAAGGCTTCTCCTACTTCCACAACAAGGCCGAAAAATAACGGTGTCTCTTTTTTCCAGCTTCTGGGTGCGCGGCGAGACGATTAGGACCAGCCGAACCGGCGCAGAGACTCAGTCAACGACGGCACCCAGTGACACATGCCTGAAATCATCGAGAACATAGAGAAGCTAGACGGTTTGCAAAAGAGAATGAAGAATATTGAGCGATATCGCACACGAACCCCCAACGAACATTTTCCCTTGCAACGCCGGTGCGCCCTCTTTTTGTCGATTCCTCTATGAATTGGCACTGTATCTCTGCGAGGTGACTTCGACAACTATCGCGACCCACTCGCACACTCTCACATTCATTCATACGCACACACACATTGAAAAAGAGAGAAGAAAAAAGAAACAGGCCGCCGGTGAAATAGCTGGGCGCCGCGCGTAGAGTGAAAAAACCCATGTTTCCTTGGCGATGTGCGGTGTGGCGGCAAAACTATGCGCCGCACATTGCGCATTCAGTGAAATTTCTGCCACGCCCATTTCATGTTTTTGAATTTTATCAATTTTCTGCACGGGCGTTTCATTTTTTCGGGAATTTTCTTTAGCGTCATTTCGAGAAAATCCATTTGAACCAGATCTCGCTTTCGGTCATCACCATACTCCGAAATATTGCAAGTTTCGCGATTAAATTGTGAGTATTCCTAAAATTGCAATTTTACTCGGCTAATTAAGATTGCTTCGATCGAGATTTTGGCAGCCTTCTATTAAAACTATGTTTTCATCCCAAACCAATTTTTGGCTGAATTAGTAAACAAGATTTACAGATGTTTAAATTTCGGAAAAAAATGATGACAATTATATATTGTCAAAAATAATATATTGTCGCCGTCAAGCGACTTCGGAGAATTAAAAAAAAAAACAATGGCGGCTTGACAGAAAACTAATAGTGTAGATTTACGGCCTAAGCATAAGGATAGAAAAAGGCGCACAACACGCACTAAGAACTCCTCCGTTTTTTAGTCATTATGCCGATTTCCGAAGTCGCACGACGCCGAAAATTTACTTTTTAAAATATTCACAATAATCTTTTGGATTAAAATTGTTTTAATTTTTCAATATTTGATATGTTTTTAATGGGAAAAATAAAAACAATAAAAACAAAGGGTGTCCGTATTATAAATATTTGCCCAATACCAAAAGGGAAATGGGACCAAAATGGTGTTGAATGGCTATTTTTTTTTAAATTATGGTTCCGTTTTGCGAAATGAGACGTTAGCATGGAATGCGAATCTGAAAAAATTGGCCCAAAGTACCTTAGCATATAATTTTTTTAAATTCTCATTATCAAAATAGAACTATAATTTTCGTAATATTTTTCATTTTTTCGCATTCACTAAATATTCCTATTTCACTTCATATTCTCAAGTTCATTATTATTTCGTAATACTTAAACCGTCACAATCTATTTTTTGAGCCATTTTTTTCATACTTAGCGTTAATTTCCAAGTTTAGATTTCCTGTCATTTGGCATTATTTTTCGCAGTTAATTTCACAGTTTCGAAGATTTTTCCTCTACGTCTCTGACATTGCTCTTTGTCGTCTGCAAGGATCGAACGATAGTGCCAATTGAATAGGAAATTCAACGTTTTACATAATCAGTACCATGGAGAAGCGCATGCTATGTTTCGAATATCTTCGATTTCTCGATTTTATATGACAGCATATCAAATATACAATTCGCCATTTTTTTAAAGCAGATGGTGTTTCATTTTCGTTTTGTTAAATGCCAATTCTGTTCACCTGTTTTTTTTTAATGACACGTCATCTATGAAATACTTCGTGTTTTTTTTATGTGACAGGTGATCGATAATTCTACCGTACTCCATGTTGCAAGTGCGAAAATCAATTATAGCCGGCGTCCGGCGACTGCTGTACGCGGGTAGATTTACGGGAATGCGTCTTTCGAAATGGTCTCGCAAAGACTAACAGGTTATTTCAATTTTAATGGACCGTTTCGATAATTTTTTATCGAATGACGTTAGAAATTCAAGGAAATGCGAAACTCATCAAGAAAAATGAAGCAGTTCAAAACAGCAAAACAAGCATTCACGCGTGGCGAGACCTTTTCAAGGCGCATGCGCGTAAATCTACCCGCGTACAGCAGTCGCCGGACGTCGACTATATACTCTTTTAATAAAATAAATAACTTTTAAAATTCCTTTAGTTTTCAAAAAAAATAATTGAATTGACTTTCCTAGTGAATCGGATACATTTTTCTCATTTCTATCTAACCTGGAATATCATTGTGCGCAAAAGAATTCATCATTTTCCCACTTCATTACCTATTTTTTATAAAACGAATTGTGGCAACTACATAGTTTTTTTTCAGTTTGGGTGTTGACTCGATTCAGTCTACATTATGCCAACTCCAGAAGAATCCCGAATGGAGGATGGGGAAATTGACGGCGTGATCGATGAAAAAGTTCGATTTTTTCATAACTTTTTTGAAAGTTTGTTAAAGTTTAAGGTTCCTCCAACAAAGGAAGATCTTAAAAAATTGATCAAGGCGGTGGAAAATGCTCCATTAGAAGAAAATGACACCTGGTAATTGAATATGATTCGGTTACGCATTTTAAAATATTATTAACATTAGGTTTGTCATTAGCCAAGACTGGTGGGACAAATTCATTCAAGCGGTTGATAATGGATTTATCGAAGATATTCCCGAGATAAACAACACTTTAATATCTAACAAAAGTAATAATATTTGTTCGTGTAAAGGTAAAACAATGATTCATTTCAATTTAGATCAGAAAAATGAGTATTTTTTGAAAAGCTTGCTTGCCGAAGGAGTTGATTACCAAACGATTCCCGAGTTTGCTTTCAAGCGTCTTCGTAACATTTTCGGTCTGGACAACGATGCTCGCGATTACATTCCTCGAACGGTTGTGCGAAAGAATGGCAGCTTGTGTGTTGAAGTTTATCCCAGGATTGTTCATGTAACTAATATATAATTACCACAATTGCGAATCTCTCGATTTTAGATCGCTTTGTTCCGCAACAAGAATATCAAGTCAGATTTGATATTAAAAGCTGATGACACAATGCGTAAGTCTCCAAAGAAGCAAAGAGGTATATCGATTATATTTCAGAAAGTCTTCGTGATCGAGCCATCAACGAACTAAACTTGAAATCTGATGAAAAACTCAGGTTCTATGTAATGAATGGCAAAAACGCGGAGCCTGAGTTAGTTGACACTTCGCAATCAATTGACAGCTATTTTGACACTGTCCAAAATGTAATTGAGATTGTAGAATTTCGCTTTAAAGATTGTAGAATTTCGCTATAGGTTCTTATTGACACCGAAGAGGATGGACAATTTTTTTATCAAACGAAACCTGCAAATCAAACGAAAAGTCTTTTCGGCACCAATTCGACGTCATCATCGTCGTATGTTTTCTTGCTAATTAATCAGTCCACGTTTTAGGTCGGCGAAAAATTATTATAATATGCTACTGAAATGTTAGCTTCCATCAGTTGACGATGATGTTCATATTATTAACTCATTGTAGAATGCTAATTCAGATTAACTCAAAAAACTACCGACACCGAGTCTGAAACTGATGCGGTCGACGAGGAGGCGTACATCGTCTATCTCTATCCGTACAATCAAAATCGACGATGGGCGCCATCGTCGTCTTCGACGTGCCGAAATCTCGGTGCCAAACTAGTGTGGCCGTTTCTAGTGGTCTGGTGGAGCGTTCGCGAGTACTGGTGGCGGTTCAGTCTGTTGTGGCCCGACAGCGTTCGCTATTTATTCGCATTCTTTTTCGGATGGTGGATCCTCCGCCCACCGTCGAGGTCCGCTTTGTTCAGTTTTTGTTTAAATTCGATGTATGAGTGGTCGATTGAATGGCTGCGTGATATGTGTTCTCCATTTTCGATGTTAGTAGGTGTAATGACAAAGAGACGTTGAGAAGGAGAAAACGACACAAAGACACATACGCGCGCGTTTGCGCACAGCTGGAGGAGGCGGCGGATGTTCGATATTCGGTAGTAATGAATTTGAACATTGTTGGGTGTAAGGAGGGTGAAGAGGATCTACCATCTGGAATCGAATCGGCAATAATGAGTTGTTTTGTTGGATAGCAATATGAGAGTTTCTCACCAAACTCCGAATGTCGCACCACCACTAGAACAAAACATTTCAACCTACGACAAAAGAGAACGGGTCATTTATTAATGGCGATTTTCACCTTCAAGCTACATTAGGGATTGAATCCGTTAATTTTTTAATCTAATTTTTATAAAATTAGATTAAAACTATATGAAATATTGATCTTAATAAGTTCATATGGCAACACATTTTACCACGTAATAAGACCACGTAGCACCAAATTATGATCAAATGTCATTTAAACGACGATTGGATGGGCTTAACGCGGAAGCGAATCGCCTGGTGGTTTCGTCGGAATTGGAGTAGGCTCAAATTGAAAATTATATTCACGTGGTACCAAATTAAAGAGTATGAATCAATATTTGTTTTTCGTTCATTACTAAACTAAACATTCATTTCGATTAATTAGACCTTCATCTAACTTTCTCACTAATGATTTCTAGTCAATAATTCCACACTACCGAATATCGCCTTGACCGCTTCTCCTCCATTGTCGTGAAAATTTGACTACAGACTTTGCGTTTGAAATGTTGTAAAAACTTTCAGAACGTTTCGAAGTTGCGCTTTGAAACGTTTTTAAGGTGCTTTATAAATTCAGTGATACAATTAGAAAGTCCATTATTACGTTTTGCTCCATCTCCGAAATTTGAAAATATTGTCTAATTTCACATTAGATAAAATCGAAACTGATTACAAAACTACAGCTAAAAATTTAATTGACTTCCAAGAATGTTTAAAACTTCCATCATAGCATCAATAATCCATCATCAATTGACGTTTTTATTTTTCCGCTCGATTAATTTTAAATTAAGTTTTTTTTGAAAAGTAAAATTGTATAGTAATAAAAATGTTCAAATATCAAACATGACGCACCGCGTAATGTTTATAGGGTTTCGCTATAAATCTACCTTAACTCTCTCTGGAAACTTAAAAAGCCACTTAAATTTTTTTTAACTATTTCAGAATTGGCAATGGCACGTATGGATTGAATTACTCCACCAGCATATCGTCCGGACATGTTGCCAAAGTCACTCCTGGTCAATGCGGTCTTCATAATCTCGGAAACACGTGTTTCATGGCATCGGCACTTCAATGCCTTTCGAACATGCCACCACTTCGCGATTATTTCCTGTCTGATGCCTACATTGACGATTTGAATGAAACAAATCCGCTTGGAACACACGGACATTTGGCACAGGTTTGAACACCATGTTGAGAATATAGAAAATGTAATTGCTGTAGGCCGTTGGAGAGATGTTCAAGAACATGTGGAGTGGTCAATATTCGAGTTATCTTCCGCGCAAATTTAAATCAATCATTGGAGAATTTGCCCCTCGATTCAACGGATATTCTCAACAGGATGCACATGAATTGATGGCATATGTTCTTGATGGTCTACATGAGGATTTGAACCGAATTAAAAAGAAACCTTATATCGAAGACAATGATGAGCATGCGAAGCTCCCGATTCATGAGGTATCGATTGAATTAGTGCTTTTCGTTGCATTTCTGGTTGCAGTACGCGGAAAAGTCTTGGGAAGTTTACAAAATGCGAAATGATAGCATAATTGTTGATACGCTTCACGGTCAGCTGAAATCTACGTTAGTGTGCCCTGTGTGCGCCAAGATTTCAATCAAATTTGATCCGTTTGGATATTTGTCATTGCCACTTCCTGAAAAAGATTCAATTCAAAGACAGACGATCCTCTTGATGCACACCGAGAAGAAATGGTCCAAGGTATAAAAAGAATTTTGTAAACGCATATCTTCAGTTATTTCTGTTAAGTTTGCGTTCCGAATCACTCAAAAGACAACTATTGCGGAAGTCGAGGAAATGATGTGGGAGAAGTTGAAACCATCTCAACGAACACCGGCTAGTTATCACCAATTATTTTCATTTCAAAAAATATTTTTAGCTTGTTTTCTTCTATCAACCTAGCTCTGTTCAATCCAATGACGATATCGTGCTTTTGCTTCCAACTGATTCCGCTTTGAAAACGATGAGAGAAATTTATGCTGCTGAAGTTGAACATGATCCAATGCTGCCTTCGACGAAAATCCTTGTCGTCTAGTATGTATCATTAGAATTTGGTTAAGGCAAACTTGAATATATTTCAGCAACCGGGTCAAAATATCACGGGCCTGCTCACTTCCGATGGTTTTCACTTTGAAGGACGAATCGGTATTCACAAAATCGTTCTTGACCGGAAAAGTACTTGACCTGACTAAGCAATTCTTCTTTGTGAAAAGGAACGTTGATTCTGAATCAGGAGATGAGACAGTCAATGGCATCGATGAGAACAGTCGGACCATTCGTTTTCGGAATTAAAATATTTATTTTATTTCAGCCGCTTATAAGATTTTCCTGCAAGGTCCGGAATCGTCACAAACGCCAATCACATCAATTGGAAATGATCCAATCGGCTGGATCGAGGGAAAAGATCCTTACACCTCATACAAGCAAGTTGTATTCCAATGGAAGGATTCTAAATTGTTCAATCAGTACAAAGGAGGAGTATGATTTATTATAATGGTCTCAGATGTAATTGTCTGATTTTCAGGATCTTGTTGAACGTGAAAGCACAGTACCGACACGCGAAAAGGTGCATTTAATGGAAACACTCAATTGGTTTACCAAGAAAGAACAACTCGGCGAGCAAGACTTGTGGTATTGTCCAGAATGTAAAAAGCATGAGCGCGCTACCAAACAATTGGATTTGTGGAAGCTTCCTGAGATTCTCGTGTTGCATCTCAAACGGTTCCAGTACAATCGTTATGCCAGGGATAAACTTACATGGGAGGTCGTTATTCCAGTCAGGTAATATTATTCGCAGTTATGTTTCCCGAACAGTGTATTCTTCAGAGGTCTCGATCTGACACCAAAAATCGCCAATGAAAAACACCAGAAGGCAGTGTACGATTTGATTGGAATCAGCAAGCACTATGGATCGTTGAGTGGAGGACACTACACTGCAACAGCGCTCAATGATCATATCAATAGATGGTTCGACGCGTTAAATTGATGCCTTTGGCAAATGCGAACTCGTTTAGGATTGATTTCAATGATGACAGAGCATCTCCGACTGACGGTCCGACCGATCCATATGAAGCTTCGGATCCCTACATGCTGGTTTACCGGCGAAGGCCACTTGATAAAAATGGCGAGCCTTTGGATCCAGCCGAACATGGTAAGTTAAGTTAGTTAAATTATTTATTTTAATGGAGTGTTCAACCGTTGTAATTATTTGTTGAGGGCAAATAATTAGACATGTTGTCACTTTTGAATTCATTAGGATATGAAGTTACGTTAAATATGGGGGAAATCGAAATGACATAATTTAAAAGATTTTTCCCAGGATATCCAGTGACCGAGTACCGTACCTTGAATGTCAATCAACGTGTACCTCATGCTAGTGACGAGAATTTGGAGATGGAAATGGACGAGGATTGAAGGTGTCCTCCGGCGAAGATCCCAAGGCTGACTTAGCATTGTCGCGCTAATAGCTCTCGTTTCGTTTAGGTGCTTTTTTGTTAGTTAACATCGTAACGAGAAACAAAAATTGATGGGATAGAGGGGGGATTGTTGTTGTAGGCATTCCACCGCTTCTTTCACGCGAATCGAGACCGTGAGCACGCGAAGGGCAGCCATGTGGTCTTTGTCGGGTAGGAACTGTTCGGCGGCAATTCCTCGTTCAAAAAGTTGGTTCGCGATGAATTCGACGGGGTATCTCTTGAATTCATCGCCATCGCCGCCACCCAATATCATCATTCATTATTCTATGTTTTTTTTTAATTTAAAATTTTCCCTTTTTATTCTTCTTATTCCGTGTAATTATTTTCAATTTTTGATAATGAGTTTATCCGAGTTTTTGTTCTGTTTTAGTCTTTCTTTCAAAAAAAGCTATCCTCAAATCGTCATTTCCGTGTATTCCAGGTGTTTCTGGGATTTTCATTTACTTTTTGTTTCTCAAGACTCTTTATCGTCCCTTTTTAATGTTTCTTCTACAACGATGTTTTGCCTGTGATGCTCATTGTTCTTTTTTTTTCTAATTTTACTTTAGTATTTATCATTTTTATCGCAATTTTGTCTTCAATGGAGACTTTGTCATTTCTATCCACGTTTTTCAAAAGATTTACGATAACTCGTGTACTTCTTGAGTTATCAAGTACAACTGGTTGCCCTCAAACAAGAAAGTTGTTCTCTACCTTATTTCTTGATTGTTTCAATCCGGTCAGAAATAGAATATTTATCGCATTGCGCAATTTTCCGCTCACTGCTCTACTATTGCTTGGTTTTTCTTTGAGATCCCAGTAAACATTTGTTTTCTATTTTTTAAATACTGATTTACCATTTTTGGTGTTTTCCGATACGGTTTCTCCCACTTCTTATTATTTATAATAGCGGAAAATGTGTTCTCTTTCTTCTTTTAGTATATTTTTTCTATTTGTTCTCTGAGGAATTACTTCATTCATCGCCCCCAATTTTTTAATGTTCATGTTATTTTTCGTTAAATTTGGTGTTTCAATGAATGAGAGTGTATACTTCGCGCACGTGGAAAATTCTTCAAAGGTCTTATTTGGATTCCATTATCCGTTTTTCAAGAAATTAATAACGATTATGATGAATATTCAGAAAATGCTCAAGAATTGGTTGGTGCAGAAATTGTTTGATATATTTGAAGATGACCAAATCATCGAAGAGGTGAGATTTATTACTTCTGGAATTTTTGAACCAACAGTAGACTGAATAAAAGTACTACTATTATAGCTGGATTTACAAAATCTCGAATCGTTTGAAGAATTGGTGAATCCTTCGTATTCAATCCCCAATATTTCATTTCCATTTGCAATTATTGGCGTTGGAGCTGGGTTTTATTTCATTTGGAAATGTCCCGATGGGTTACGAACAACAATAATTTTGAGTTGTATTGGAGCGTCGGTATCAGGTGCGAAGAAATTGTTTTTTTTTTGCATTTTCAACAAAATATCTAAGCTGTTTCCGTGCTGAATTATTTGTTCTTAACGGAAAGCGCGAGGACGCCAGGAAAAACGATTCAGGCGTTCGAAAAAACACGAAAAGCTTTGCGGCGAAGAAAACAGATTTGTTTCGGGTAAAACTATACAAGCGTCGAGTTTAGCATTCATTTATACATTTTTCAGCCTTGCAATTCAAGTTCCCCCGAAAAATGTTTTAAATTCGAAGAGTTGCCGAATTGCTGCTGAATGTATCGATATTCTCGCAAATACGTCGTTGATTTTGTGTGATTCTGCAAAAGACCTATGGACGAATAATTATAGCTCAGAGATTCAAGAACTACTGCAACGAGATCCCGAGAATCCCTCAAAATTGTTTGTCGAGCAACGTGATAATGAAGATTTCGACGTCATTTTTGAGGTTTTAATAATCGATTTAACCATTTTAACGAAAATTTCAATTTCAGACTCTTATTGGATTATTTCGACTGCATTGCAGCGAAATAGCGCGAGTGATATTGCTTGAAATAATCCACGCCAAATCATTTTTTCACATATTGTCCATACTTGAAATATTTAGAAAGATGATGAGAAAATTGCGGCACGAAATTAGAAAAATACAAGGTCTTGCAATTTATTTCAATTAGAGAAATATTGTTTTATTTTTTTTTAGAAATTGAAGTTGCGTGCTGGAAAAAAGAAAAGCAGGGATGTTCGATTAAACGAAAAGAAAATGATGTGAATATTGGGAATATGGACAAAGTTGCAGTGGCGTTGGAGAGTTTGCTTGAGCAGTTAGATACCTCGAATTATGTTTCGTTTATTTGGAATCTTACAGAATCAGAAAAAACGAAATGCGAAGCGATCAATTGGAGTTGTCACTTCGACGTATTCTTGTAATGATCAGCGAGCAATTAGTCACGTGTCCACAGATTTCCGATAAATCTGAAAAAGTTCTGCTTTCATTGGAAGAACATTCGGATGCAATTCCATTTGAGAAACGTGATGACACCGATGAAGACATGGTATTTGAAGGGTTCACTCTAACAGAAGATGAGAAGAACAAAAATCGATCAGCGGTGGGCAATTGAAACATTTTATTTTTTAAACATAATCAAAATAGTAGATATGTCGCGATGTTCTGCTAGATGGAATCGAAAACAGAAAACACGAAGCTAGTCTGATGGGAGAGCTCCAACAGGTTCTACAACCGAGAAGGAGCGATTTCGAACAACGGGAAAAGGCGGCGCTGGCAAAGTTCTATGGAATCAAGGTCGACGAATTAGAAGAGAAAGAGACACAAGAAATAGTAAACTATATCCTTTAAATTTCGAATATAACATGTAAAAATTAAGGATTATCAAGGCATTGGGCAAGGTGTCGAAGAGCCAAATGAGACATATGATTGGAGAAAAGAAGCTGAAGAGAATATCGGCATTCATACGGCATCTGGAGATGACACATTCTTACAGACGCTGGCAGCAAGATGTGTTCAACAGAATACTATTGAATAAAACAATTTAGAAGGATTGAAAACATGAAAATCTATATTCAGATATGTTGAAAAGACGAGGTGATTTCAATTGGCGAGATTGGTGTTAGACTATGTGGGAACCCATATTCAACGCGTAGATCTGAAATAAAAGTTAAAGAAATTGCAATATTCCTATTTTATTCACCTTTGGCCATTTCAGTGAAGAAGGAACCGCGCGAGTGTGTCTACGATACACTTGACGAGCCTCTAATGGTTTTGCTTCCCAAACTCCTGTTGGAGCAAATAGCTTCACATTCTTAAGGTTGTTTTTCTGAATGTACGCTTTAAGAAGAGCGTGAGCAATTTCGATGGTTTCCGCGTAAATAAGATTGACCTGTAAGATAATCATAATTATTGTTGTATTGATGTTCGGTTCGAACTTGTTCTCCACTTCCGGCAATCATTCCGTTAACCGAATCGGTGCTTTTAGCGATCAGTACGTTCTTATTAGCGAGCAAAACCTCGAGAAAAGCATCGCGCGAAAATCCACAAACGGAATTGTCGAAATCGGCAACAGCTTCAAAGTCGGCTTTTGTGTAGGCGACAATTTTTTCTGAGAAAAATACGTTCTTATCAGCGAAGAATAGAAACATCTACAAACCTGACGACGGAATAAGCGACTTTAAAAGAGAAGCTGTGTTAAATGTGTAGTGATAGAAGACGTTACGATCGGTAACGATGAATCCTGCATCATCTCTCCAGGAATCGTCAAGCTTAAACAACAATTTTGGAAAAAATTAAAATCAAGATCATACCAAGAAGGAATCAATGGTGACGTTCTTCTTAAGTTCTAAATTGAATCTTCCGAGGGAATGCTCGGCAAGCAAATCAGAAAGATGGCAATGAGCTGGACGAGCATCGGGCAACGAATGGAATTGCTGAGCAAGTGGTAAAAGTCGACGGTTTTCTTTTTGCGTCTGCAACCGACAATGAAATCGGAAAGAGTTCGGAAAATACCTCGATTTTAACCAATTTCAAATGAAGCAGATCTTCATTTTTGACGAGAAGATCCTTGTTAGCGATTGAGCTGTGCAGATCCTGCAAAAAGAGTCAAAAGTTAGATCTGAATCAGTATTAAATATGAACATTTCCCTGCCAAAATGCGTTCTATGGAAATTCAATCAAGTTTCTGATTCTTTTGGTCAAATAAATTGGTGCTACTTATTATTTTCCAATCATCATTATCCAGATCGTAAGTGGTTCTCACAACACTGTGTGATCTTCAATCCAACAAGTACAAATCAAGTAATTAATTCGATTGGGTTACTGTAGAAATGGTTTATAAAACCCGACCCGATCCGATCACATTAATCTAGTTATAACCCGAAATTACCTGAAGAACAAGATAGGCTTGGGAATTTCCAAATTTGACAATTGTCTCACGAGCCAACACACGACCTACAAAATTTTGTATAAAACGATGAGAAAACGAATAAAATGTACCGGAATCATCGTTGAGCACTGCAACGCTTGATTCTGGAAGTTTTTCGACCGGAAGTGCAAGTTTGCTAATCTCCAAAAGCGGTGTCATTATCTGAAAAGTAATTCGAATTTCAAAAAAAATGAATGTTAAGAAATTAGCAGAAGTAGAAAGAAAAACGATTATTTCACATATGAATGGAATCAAGTTTCACAAAAGTGACATTTTAAAGCAATTATTTGAGAATAATATTTATAGCATATGTAGTGGGAATTTTATCTTTTAATTCACATTCTTTTCTCATTTTTTGAATTTTTTTCTTCAAAATGTTAGTGAAAATCAAGCCAATTTTGGCGAACTTTTTATTGATTCATAATTGAATTTGATTGAACTGCACGAATTAAAATGAAATAGTTTTGATAGATTTATGTAATGCCACCGGGTGAATAGACTTGTCGAAACTTGCGACAGGGTTGACGATCGGGGCGGACGGAATCGAAAATGTGATAAAAAGTGAAACGACCATCACACACGCACACAACTACATTTGTAGGCGGAGACGAGGGTCGGCCGTCAACCCGGAGACATACGAATTGGAGAGGCAACCGCACCGAAATTAGTTTCATTCAACGATTAATTATTGCGGATTATAATAACAATAGTCAAAATTGAAAACGAGATTTGAAGACACACGAAATCAATGAAATGATTGAGATGTGATATGCGAAAGTGAAAAGTGGGCGGAGTTTTACGGGAGAGAATCGAAACTAATTAAATTCGGAATATGATTTCAGCTGTTCAAAATGGGCAATGTTGATTCAATTTGAAAATGCTGATTACTTACTATTTCATTTAAATTTGAAAACTAGACCTCGAAAGAAGGGAATCTGTGATTTGAGTGATGAATGATGAAGATAATCCAGGAGACGTTTGTTATCAATCTTGGATCCTTCCCCTCACGCAACCAAAGTCACTATTTGATCTTTTTGTTCTATCTACATTGAGACCATTAGATCCAAAAAGAAAAGAGCATTCTGATAAGTGATATGCTCATAATGACTGAAATAAGCAATTCCGTGTTAATCAGCCATTGTGCATTTCGAGCATTGCTATCTTCCAACCAAAAAAAAAATATTTTCTCCAAATGGTTGACACACCTCAAACGAAAATTTTTTTCCGCAATTACAGAGCATATGATTTTGAATGAATACTGATGTTGTCATTGCATCTCATAATAGAGATCAAAAATGATTAAAAGACCACGAAACGTAAATTTGAACCCAAAATAACGCCCGATTATTCTAAACAAAAAATATATAAGATAAATATTTTTTTGAAATTCCATTGCTTTAACTTTAGATTAAAATTGAAAATTGAAAATTTCTTAAATTTATGTTTAATCTACTCTACTGGATTTATTTAGATTTATTTTGGATGCTCTATACGGTAGCTAAACTTATTTCTGTTTTATTGAAACATTTTTGAAAAAAAAAACATATTTTTTAAATTACTTAGCTCAAACTATGATTGTTTAGGAAGAATTTAGACGAATGTAACTGAATGAGATACAAGCAAAGCCTTCGTTACACCCGTGTTCAACATTACAAAGTAAACCTGTGATAATGTCATGTACGAAAGAAAAACTTGTTAAATTTTTTTTTGTAAAATTGGGTGGGAGAGATGAATCGAAAAAGCGATGAATTTGGCGAACCTAGGCGAGTACAAGATGACGTATCCCTGATCTCCTCCCCGCTACTTGACTGCCTTTAATGATAAAAATGCCCAGAATCGGCGAATCCCGTCGAAGGTCAATCCGCTTTCAACTTATGCAATGAATCGAATTCAACTTCAAAGTAAAATGTAGGTTGATTCTCATTCTATTCTGCTGCTTTATTATTATACATATACATTTATTTGCACTGACTGGTCAGAACTAGTTGCAATCCAATTCGAATGCTATCATATTTGGAATGGAACAAAGAAAAATGAAAGTTGTAAAAACGAGAGAAGAAGCTGAAATAGAAAGAATAAGCAGAACGGCAGCGACAAAGAATTGTCGAACATTGTTAAAACCGCAATATTGATTGAGGGAGAAGAGAAATTGCAAAAAATGGTGCTGGTTTGAAAAAAAAACATGAACCAAACGAGAATGCGAATATTCAAAATTGTATTTATTTTAAGATACGTCATGCACTCAAAAATTTTAGTCAAAACTGCCCTCTAGAACATTTTTTTTTTCAAAATAAATGGCAAATTTGGATAATTTATTTAAAACCAATTTATCAATTGTTGCTAATAAATTCTTAATATCATTGAATAACGAAAAATGTTCTTTAGCTAAATCGTTAGAATTTAAGTAAAATTTATTTGCGGAAGTCGACGAATAAAGAAGTTTTAAGAATTTACTGTAGCTGATATACAAAAAGTTTTTGAACATAAGTTCGAAACTGCGAAAATTTAAATACTCAAATTATTTAAAGTTTTTCGATTTCGGGATTTTTTAAAGTGATTTTTGTGAAACCGAAAAGTTTCAACGTATTCCAGGTATTTCGACAATAATTGAGAACATTCGAAAACATTTCGAAATATATCTTAACGTCGTTCGATTCTCGTTTCATTCAATTCGAAATATGGTGTTTAAAGATGATCAACTACCAAAGAAAAAAACCTAGAGGTGTGAAATTCGCCAGAACGTCGAGGAACGAGGGACACCCAGAGAGGGGCGAATCAGCTGTATGCAAGTATAGTCACGAGTGTTGTTCATTGCGGTTCTGCGCACCGCGAACCAGTTTCGCGGTTTTGCCGCCTTGGCATCTCATCCGAAAGCCGGATCTCGAATTCGGACGCCTCGAATTGGGGTTTATAGTACATTTGTGCGGAAGACGCCTCCTCCTTCATTCACCTCGCCCCAATTGAGGTCATCGTTGCATATATTGAGTGACAGACTGATGACCCGATCATCACCTCGTTTCCCAGAATTTCGAATTAATTTCAATTAGTGACTGTGACGAAATCAATTTAATTTGACTATAAAAAATGACACACAAACGGAACATTTCAAGTGCTGACATACACTTTTTCTCGTCTAGCACTTTTTGATTCCTCTCTTCAAATCTGTTAGCTTTTCCAGACATCCTCGGTGTATTTGATTATTGAAAGAATCTAGCAATCTGATCAGTTTGAGCATTATGTCTGACTGCAACGTTCTGATAAACAAAACCTCTTCAATCAATTTGCGATGTTTTGGGCTTCTGCGTCAGAAGTTTCGAAGATCAACTTCCGCTAAAAAACAGCCGCTTCTTCCCGTCATGCGGCGACACTTTTTTGTGACGACGGATGTTGAGTTTGGATAGAAACAAAGTGCAAATCTCTAATGATTGACTGATGAACCCAGGCGCGCCAAAACTCATTTTCGTCTATCATTCATGTTCGACGAAATCCGCGCGAAATTGATAATAAAAACGGATTGCAAGGTCGTCTCGGGACGCGTCACACGCCGGACAGCCGGCCGACTCGTGTCCAAAGTTTCATTCATTTATTATTGCCTAATTATGTGAATATAAGACGTACTCGTACGTGGATGCGCGATAATTGTGGGGTTTTGGAACATTGGCTTTGTGTGGAATAGACTACGTCTCGTTACCGGTGGGAGGTCGAGGTCAATCCCATTGTAAAAGTCCATCTACCACTTAACACATATATTAAACGTATAGAGAGTGGAGCCTGAGATGATTAATTTTGCAAACTTGAAAACCGGTTACGGTTTGTCCCGCCGACACAAAACATGATCATCAACAATTTGGCATTCGACAATACCTTAAAGTGTACTAAACGACGAAATAGAGTAATGCGTCGAGAGACGGCAGAAAATACCGCAATTTGATAGAAATGAATGAGAAGAATTGAAAAACGAATTGGGCGAAAGTCGGCAGGGGTTGTGCAATTTGTTATTAAATTCAATTCAACAAACGAGAACTGAAATGTTTTCAGATGGGGCGGGGGAGGAGGCAGATTTATAAAGAATAATATTTAAAAAAAATAAATTATACAATTTAATTATAAAATATTTCATTTTATTTTTTTTTTAATAATTAAAAAAATCATCTACAGGATGAATTTGTGTAATTTCCGATATTTTGAGAGAAGAAAAATACAGAGTAAATAGTAGTTTTCATGAAATAATTTTAGAGATTTTTGCGAAATCTCATAAAGGAAATATCTCAAAAATATGGAATAAATCAACAAAGAACAAACAAAAAACGTGGGAGAATTGAAATGAAACGCATGACGGATCATTATAATGCAACTAATAATGACCAACGACGTCGATATAGGTCATCAACTCTCGGTGCGCCTTTAATTTATGAACCAGAAAATTGCGCATGGTTTTTTTCTTCGAATCCATTGCATTTCGACAATTTTCTGAGGAAGACCGAGTTTCAATACGCAATAAATCAAGGTCAAGGAAAATGAGGGGCCTAATCCGAATGTATAGTTATCCGTCGACACAGAGCGAAGGGTTAGCCGGGAAAAAAAATACGGCAGTTTAAGGAATCAAACAATATCATTAAAGGATTTCCCATTTATGACGCTGTAAAATTTTTCGAAGAAAAAACATTCAGTTTAAAATACATTGGTTCTACCATAATTTTTGTGCAACAAATTGCTTAGTGTTATGAGTCATAAAATGAATGTCTTCCAGCTTGTTGGTTTAAGCAAATGAGAGTGATTTTCGTTCACAAGATATATAGTCTTAATTTGATATTCTTTTTTTGCAAATAATCTTTTCGAATTGAAAATCATTTTTTTACGCTTGCAGTATGATACATGTTAGTATTTTATTTTCTTCTCACCGCTAAGCTAAACAGGTCGCTCGTTTTTTTGCGAATGTAATATATGTAACAATTTTCGGAAATGATCAGCTACTACCCAATCCCAATAATATGACACCAGCATCCGCCATACGCGCCACAATTCATTTCGATAAAAACACCTGTTCGACTTTTCCGGACCATTAAGAACACCTAAAATTTGACTAGCAGATTATCTACTATTAGCAAATGTCAACTAACTAAGAACATTTTTCTTGTTTGAGTTCAAAGAGTTCCAAT